AGATAGATAGATAGATAGATAGATAGATAGATAGATAGATAGATAGATAGATAGATAGATGGAAGAGCAGTCAACAGGTTAAGCTAAACATTATCGTAACCAAATCCCTCTGTTAACCATCTGTTATTGTATTTTGCTTGTAGAAAGTCCACAAACGGTTTCCAGTCTTTTATAAAACTGTTTTTGTTTTGTTTTGTGTTTTACCTTTTATAGTAAAATAAACATACTTAAAAGGAAAACGTTTATATTGAGAATGGTGGGTGGGGGAGAGAGAATGTGGTGGAAAGAAAAAGGCCTAGCAGTGTACAAATAGGATGAGCTGACTTCACTACAAATCCCGGTTAAATGTGGTTGTAAAAAACAACTGTCTGTTATTCTTGGTTTTTTCTTGCTTTTGGTGCAGGGAGGGAGGATTGTTTGCAAAGTTTGAGCCCCCACAAGCACCCCAGGTAGAGAGAGGCCAGGAATTTGGGGGCCGCAATTCCCCTTGGCAGGGAGGGAGGATGGGATTTGTAGTTGCAGGGGTGCATTGGTGTATCGAGAGCGTGGGGTGCCTGCTTCCACACACTCCTCCCCTCTTAGCCGCAGGTGAGGTCATAGATGTGAATTCCTGAGTAAGATACCGCTATAGTGTGTGAATGTTTTGCCATCATTAAAGCTTTCGGGGAGCCGAGTGGATAAATTGACGGAACCGATACCGGAAAATCCCTCTTTTGTTCTTGGCTTGATAAAAAAGGCAAGGAAAATGGGGCAAAATTACCCACTTTCCTGATCTTCTATATTGGGGTGGGAATTGCCCAGAGTCAGTTTTGATTTGAAGGAAAACTTGCAATATTTCTCTCTGTTCTTTCATCTTCCAGAGGTTGATGAGTCTGTCTGTCTCTCTCTCTCTCTCTCTGTCTCTCCCTCCCTCTCTCTCTGTGTCTCTCTCCTCCCCGCCACTCTCGGGAAATCTTTAATAGCGTTAAATTACTGTTGAAAAAAACGGCCTTTGAGGTACCCCAGGGCATACCTCGCAGGGCTGCTGTTTGTCTAGGAGTCAGAAGTTTCCCTCCCCTTCTGCAGGCGTATAAAACTCCGGGCTAAAATAATGTTTCAGTTCAGGACACGTGAGGGGTTTTTTGGTGCGTTTTATTTTTTTTTGAGTTTCCAGAATGAGTCATGCTGACTTCATGATCGTATGGAAAGACGGCTGAGGTGTGGGTATCATGCCCCTGCTCAATTTTGGGGCAGGCCTATTGTTTAAAGGAGAAAGACACCTCCAAGGGATGCTTGCTGTTGTTATTATTATTATTATTATTTTAAAAAAAATCCATTTCTTTCCAGCAAACCCTCAAACTTGTAGGCGGCCGCAAAATGCAAAACCGAGCGTTCCCTTGGCACATCTTTAATTGGATTCTTGGATTTTTGGATCGAGGCAGATATAATCCATTGCGTTTCAATCCTGCCCAACCAGGTTTAGTGAGCTAATGAGGTGACGTGGCTTCATGGATTAACTCAAAGCAGGTCTGTGCTGAATTTTACCTGCTCGAGAGCCTGGGAACCTGGTTGCCATTCGAAGAAGGAAGGGTGTCTCTAATTAGAGGTGGAGATGCGGCTGTCCTTGATGATGTATAAAAGGGCGGTGTGAGAGAAAGTGGAAAGGAGGAAAAATAACAATAATAAAAGGTTCCCAGGCCTTCCTTTCCACGGTCCTTCAAGCTAGCAACATCTGGAGTTATTCGCAGAGCGAGGCACGAATGCATTACGCAGCTTGCTAAATGCTACATTGAATAGAGAAGATGAACAGAGTTGGAAAGGGACCCTGTAGGTCATCTAGTCCAACCCCCCCCAACCCGAGTAGACCCTACACCATTTCTGACAGGTGGCAGCCCAGTCTCTTCTTGAAAGCCTCCAATGATGGAGCTCCCACAACTTTGGAATACAAGCTGGTTGATTGTTCTCAACTGTCAGGAAATTCTTCCTTATTTCCATAGCTGAATCTCTCCTTGTTCAGTTTCCATCATTGTTCCTTGTCTGGCCTTCAGGTGCTTTAGAAAATAGCTTGACCCCTTTCTTCCTCTCTGTGGCAGCCCCTCAGATATTGGAAGGCTGCTATGGTGTCTTGGTATGGCATTGATTGGTCGATGCAAGGCTTAAAGAGGGAGAGGATAACAGATATTCAGAATTGGAAGGGACTTTGTAGGTCATCTAGTCCAACCCCCTGCCCAAGCGGGTGACCAAGCGGGAGAAAGTGCCACTTGCTATTATAATTAATGT